AAAAAAAAAAAAAAAAAAAAAGGAAAAATAACCATGTAGAATGCAGTTTCTAGTAAAAAGCAAGTATGAAAATATTCCTGTTTTGTGGCCCTCCAATCTGTCCATGGATTTTTTTTATTATTTCATTCTTCATGGTTAGGTGATGCACAAAACTGACATTGTTTTAGAGAGTTTCAGCACTAGTGGGAAAGTAGTTTATTAATGTTAATGTTTTATAATTTATTAATGTTTTATCTGTAGTGTTTTTATCTAATCAAATACTCTTGAAATATGTGGCCAGATTTTTTTTATATGGTTGCAAGAGACCTTTATAATTTGGTAATGATTCCAGTGACTCAGCCTTTAAACAAGCTGTTGGGAGGGAAAGAAGAACAATAAATTGGAAATTCTGTAATTTGGATGTCTGTTTAGTGTAGTCATACGATGCTAATGGAGATTGTGCAGAGGGAGCTTGAGATGCCCCAGTCTGATTTCCTTGCGCCAGTCCTAACCAGACCATGTCCCAAACAAGGGCTGGTGCATGTGGCAGGAAACCTTTTGTACACAGAGCCCAGAAAACTTAGTATTTGAAGGGATACTCGATATTTGGTTTACCCTGAGCGTTACAGAGGCTGTGCTGCCCACAGCTTAGCAGACTCTGGCAACCGAACAAAACCCACCATGGGGTAGATCTAGTTCCCGTTTTGTCAGGTTGCCCTAGGATTGTTCTCAGCTGCAGCTAAATTCCTTGTGGCTTCTGGTGTTCTTGACTGTTACGATCAAGGATCAAGTTTTAACCAACTCCAAAAAATGTCAACATATAGACCCAGTGCCTTTGCATGGTAAGGAGAGCAAGGGCTGGATGAAATTAATTCTGCAGTTGTCTGCAAAGTATTAATAGGGTAATAAACTTCTGAAGTCAAATAGCAAATGAATTACTCGTGTAATCTGCAAAGTCTGCAATATGGTGCAAGAATTTAGGAGAGTGAGCAGAGAAACCTCCCTCAGTCATCTTCCAACTTACTGCAAAGACTTGGGGATTTGCTCAGGTCGGATCCAACATGAGATGCCTGGAGGCATTTAACTGTAGGAGGGCTCTGGAACACAAATTTGGCAAGTTTGTTGCCTTGAAATATTTAAACATTTTGAGGAAGGAACCCCAGTACCCCTGAAAGACAATTTGTCAATGTTATTGACAGGTAATAGAAAGTAAATATTTAAAAGCATTTTTAAACTAGTCTGAAATCAAGGTAATCTGTCAAATGGAATACATATAAGATGGCATGCAGCTCTAGGTCGGGGTAAGAAGCTTTATTTTCAGTTCTATGTGGAGTTGGTATGCACATGCAGGTTACTTGGAAAAAAATAGTTGCTAAATAGCTTACAGAATTCCTCAGGATGCTCCTTGACTTCATTTTCCATCTTATTCTAAGCTCAAACTCTTATGCCATAGTCTGTAAATAGCAGTATTAGACACTGAACAGTTTGCATTTAGTATCCTGACTTGCTGTTCCACTGGTTGCTTGATATGAGGAAGTCCTTGGCTGCCTTTATTCTCTTCTTCAGCATTTTATTTTATTTTTTCCTTCCTCTTTTGATGAGACAGCCCTACACTTATTCTTACTTTACTTAAAATCCCCTCCTTTTTCTGTTCTTTATCTGTCTTGAAAAACACTGCAAGAGTTTTGAGGATGTTCACCACAAAACTCGTAGTTGTGCGAAACCTTTTGTGGTTTAAAGTAATTGCCAGCGTGGCTGCTCAAGGAATGTATTATGGCTGGACGACATGCTATAACTAGTATTGTTAATATAGCTCTGGCATTTGCCTCCTAACTGAAAACAGCTGTGATAACCACAAATGCAAAGAAATATCAACCCTTTTATAGCAATTTTTATTAGGCTTATTATGAAAACAGCTGCCTAGGCAAAATCGCTTCAGAATATACTATTTTTAATATATACTTTTCTTTCATTTTATCCTGGTACAGATGTAAAAGCATTTGGAGTTAGTCCTGTTTTCCCGGCTATCAGCTGCTTTTAAAGCTGGATTTAGTACAGCAGTTTCACAAAGGAACCTGAAAGTAGGTCCAGGCAGCATTTGTCCATACACATGCACAGCCAAATTTATTAGAACTTTGTTTTCTTGCCATTTTTTGTCTTTTTTTTTTTTTTTTTTTTTTGCTGTCCTCTTGCTCTCAGCCCCACTCTTCTCAGAT